CAGACTATAACTACAAACTAAACAAATTCTACTCAAATTAATTCTACAGTTTTGCTTTCTCAGGCGATCCTGTGCATAAAACTGAAATTTAAACAGGTCGGCATTTTACCGGTAAACCGGAAAATCAATGCATAAATTAACTTGTCAGAAGTGTGAATTGCCTCCTGCCAGTACGGTAACGGCCTTGCCGGTACGGCTAATGACCTTCGGGTACGGTAAAGCAGCGGCCGGTACGGTAAAGCAGCGGCCGGTACGGTAAAGCAACGGCCGGTACGGTAAAGCAACGGCCGGTACGGTAAAGAAACGCATGCCGCAGGAGACTCACAGGAAACCGGCTTGGTGGTAATGATCAGTTCCCTTATGAATGGTCAAAAAGTGTATGGAGATTTTATGAAAATGTGTGGATGTTAACAGAATGATGTCATTTGGTCACAGTTGCGCAATAAATGGACTATTTTGGGCGTAGCTATAAAATGTGTCACCAAAGTACACGCACGTGTGCATGGATTCCAATAGTTTGTGCTGTGAAGGAACTCCATTAGAAAATAAGTATTGTGTAATTTGTAACTGAATATATTCAAATAGATTTATGTTTATGAATCTTGTTTCTTTTCAAAGTGTATTTATATAATAAATGTTTTTTATACTTTTTCGATGGATTGAATTTACAAATGATGAATTATTTTGTCATACCATCACTCGATTTATGTATTACGAATTTCTGATAGTTTAGGCTGTGTTCTTGCAAACGGGAAGACATTTACTGGTGTACAGTGGACATCGATAAAAGCGAACGTATTTCGAAAGTTGTGAAATCATGGTATTGTTTTTGTTTTGGCATTATACAACTTGCAGTTCCCTTTTGATGGATTTTGTGTGACTGGCCGTGTTATCGAACTGTAGTATTATGTAAATCTGCCTCGGGGGGGGGGGGGGAATCTGCAAGCAAAGTTTAAATTGCCATTTTCTAATGATATCTTCTGTTCTTTAATTGAAATGTGCATTGCTAACAGCGGAGCTATCTCAGCCGACAGGCTGCATAATATTGTCAGTCTGGTGTATACAGATGGCTAACAGTTTGCCCCTTATTATTGTCCAATATACGGATCTTTAACAGTTTTACATATCACGAATACATGCAATACTACCTTTGTGTCATATCAATTAGCGTATATTTATGCTAAGAGGTGGACCATGAGAAACTGAAGAGGGGTAAATGGCAGAATCAAACAAAAAAATTGTACAGGAAAAACATTCTGCACGTCTATTTCTTGGGGAAATGTTACACAGAGAGGACATAAAAATTACAGCGATTCATCATGGGGGG